ATGATCATTACAATGTCCAGCTCTCATTATGGCAGTCGTTAAGAAGCAAACAAATTCATTGAGAAACTGGCTGGTAATTGGCCAAATATAAAAATTTGGCTTTTATCTGAGTCTGTTCAGGCTAACAGTAAAATATAGAACAATAGACATTTATTCTTCACAGTGTTGGAAGCTCAAAATTAAGGTGCTGGCACTTTGGTATCTGACAAGGACCTGCTTTCTGGTTTATGCATGGGCATCCATTTTATTGCTGTGTTCTAACATAGTAGAGGGAATAAGAGATCTCAGGGAGGTCTTTTTGATAAAGGCACTAATCCCATTGATGGACTGATCAATTCTCAAATGGTTGGCTTCCTAATACTCTCATATATGAAGGGAGATAAATGTTTAGTTCATGCCATGCCACTCTATCTTGGAGCCATCTTACTATGGACTGAAACCTCTACAAATGGTGAGCCAAAATAAACTTTTCATCCCTTAACTTTGGGTATTGGGTAACTAAGAGGAAAGAACTGGGACTATAACTGAGTGTAGTGCCCTGGATTTAATCCCCAATGCCACCAAAGAAAAGAGAAAAAAGTAAGCAAAATAATAAGCAACCTCCTATTAGATGGAAAACACATACACACACACACACATTTTTAAAATCATACATGCATGGTGGTGGATACCTGTAAGCCCAGCATTCACGAGGCTGAGGCAGGAGGATTGCCATAAGTTCAAGGCTAACCTAGCCTAATAGTTTGAGTCCAATCTGAACAACATAGTGAGACACTGTCTCAGAAACAAAACAGATAGGGCAATTTGGAAATTCAGAGAAAACAAAAAAGATCGGGGTCCCCAGGCTTGGGGACACATGCCTATAATCCTAACATTTAGGAGGCTGAGGCAAGAGGATTGCCACAAGTTCAAGGCCAGCCTGGGCTACATAGTGAGTTCAAGGACAGCCTGAGTGACAAAGTGAGATCTTGTCTAAAAAAACAAAATCAGAGATCTAGCTCAGTTGGAAGGCCCTGCATTAAAGTCCTACTACTATATAAAACAAAACTCTTTTAACTGTGATGATACATGTCTGTAATCCTAGCACCCGAGTGGGAAGAACTTATAGTCTGAGGACAACCTCGGCTACCTTGCAAGTTCAAGGCCAACCTGTACTACATAGCTACAGTCTCTCCATCCATCCGTCCATCCATCTGTCCATCCATCCATCCATCCATCCATCCATCCATTCATCTCTCCTTTGAGAGAGTTCTGAGATTCAGACAGGTCTGAAGAGGTGGGAGGTGGTAGTGCATGCCTATAATTGCAGCAGTCAGGAGGCTGAGACAAGAGGATCACGATTTTGAGGCCAACCTGGGCTAAATACAGTGCCACCCTGTCTCAAAAAAAAAAAAAAAAAAAAAAAAGACTGAAGAAAGTTCTTGCTGGGTGTAGTTTTGCATGCCTATAATTCTAGCTACTTGGGAGACTGAGATAGGAGAATCACAAGTATGCCAGTAGCCTGGGCAATTTAGCAAGACCCTATCTATCTGTCAGTCTCTCTGAATGAATGAATGAATGAATAAATAAAATGACTGGGGATTCAGCTCAGAGCTCCCTAGGTTGAATGCCTAGTACTGGAAACATTTTCATAGGCATAAACATACAACATACAAGTCTGTAGACAAGTAGACCGAAAACAGGAGATGGTATTAAATGCTATATTGCTCCACTGGACGCTAGTCAAATCAAAACTCCCCAAAATCACAATAAACCTGACAATGAAGAAGTATAGCTCAGTAGTAGTACTGTTTGACATGCATGAACACTGGGTTCAATCTCCAACACTTCAAAAATAAAAACAGAATGATTGTGATAGTGATTATTGATAGCATTGACTACGTGGACACACTTTCTCACATTGGCTGCTATCAGTGATGAGAGAACTCTTAGTGATTCTCACCCCTGTCCCCATTCACTCGCTGCCCTTCTTGGTGGTGCTAGGAATCTGAACTCAGGTCCTCCAGCAGGCTCTGTAAGTGCTCTGCCATAGAGTTACACTCTACAACCGATCATCTCTTTTAAAAAGGCAACAGACTAAAAGAGACTGAGTGCCTTGACCAAGATCACAGAACTGGTTAAACCCTAACTCCTTAGGGAGTATACTTAGATTAGTAGAGATATAGTATGCATATAAAAGAAGATAAATCGTAAGTATAATGGCCATCCATGTTTAAAAAAGACCAGCATCATATAAACTTTCCATTATAATCCACTGGTACAGGGAGACCTTGACTTAGAAGCTAGGAGGGTATGATGCAAGCCGGCAGCTAGCCATAGGTCAAGGTTGGAGAGGCTAGCCAGGAAGTGGACTAGCCACAGGGTACAAGGTTCAAAACATCCAAAGCAGGAGCAGGGTAGGGCCACTGTGGTAGGGGCGTGGCTATTTGACCTGTGCCTAGAACAAAGCATTTTCTCTCTTCATTCACTCAGCTTATTTAGGTTGGGGCTTTACTCTAAAATTGAGCTTGTATTTGAAGCCTGAGTGATAGCAGAACACATTTGAGTCACATAGATTATGGGAGCACCTTCCCACATTTTCCTCTTTCTTAAGGACTCTACTTGTTAACCCTGGAGTTTTGGTAACCAGTCTCATATAAGTTAATGACTGACTGCTATTTTGTTCCCTGGAGCTGCTGCCTAGCAGGTTTTTCTCAAAAAAATTACCAATGCCAGATCTTATTCTGATGAAATTCTGTTTAACTGGTCAGAAGTCTAAGCACTGGTTTTTGTTTTTGTGATACCAGAGATTGAAGCCTGGGCCTCACATGTAAGCAAGACTCTACCACTGAGCTACACACCCAGTCCTTTTAAATTTTGAAACAGGGTCTCATTTAATTGCCCAGGAAGACTTAAAATTTGCAATCCTCCTGCTTCAGTCTTCTTGGTGACTGGAATTATAGGTATGTGTAGATAAGCCTTGCCCAAACATCGGTATGTTTGAAAAATTCCCCAGGTGGTTCTACTAGGTAGTCAAAGTTGAACTACTGATTTAAAACATTAGGAAAAGTTCTAACAACTAATCAGTGTTTAAGCAGCATTGTCTCTTCATATGTCAATGTGATTATTAAAAAGTAATGAAATAATTTTCATGACATATGGTCTTCATAGGACTTTCTCATTACTCATTTTTAATAAAGTCAACATATGGCTGAAATCAACAGTAAGTCAGAAACTGACGATTTGTGTGTAGGGGTGGAGTAGGGAGTGGGGTGGGGTGGAGGTGGGGTTGAGATAGTGTCTCACTATGTAGCCCAGGCTGGCTTTGAATTTGTGAGCCCCCTGCACAATTAGCTGGTATTGCAGGTATGTGCTAGCTCATTACAAACATTTGGTAACCACAACTCTCTTTGACAGAGGGATTGGCTTTAGTTAGAGCCAATCACAGGACAGAGGGCAAATTCCTGTGCCCTTAACCTGTTACTCATTAATGGCATCATTTTTTTTCTGAGGGGTTAGAGGACTTAATCTCATTTTTGCCAGGATGAGTAATTTTTCACTTGGTCCTACAGATCCCCAGTAGTAACTAGTAAATAAATAAGTAAATAAATAACAAACAGGGCAGGGATATAGCTCATCAGCACTGCAACTGCCCAGCAAGCCTCCGGTTGTGTGTTGGATCCCTAGTACCAAAACAAACAAACAACCCCAATGCTTTATCCTCCCTTTGTATCCTTTATTATCTCAAAACTTTGGACATAGGTGTGTTAATCACTTAGAAAAAGTTGGCAAAACAAAGCTTATTACCTCTATGTTTACCAAAGCTATCTCATCCCCCTTCAAGACTGAGGACATGAAGAGATTTACATAGACATTCAGCTCAGCATAACACTTACGTTGAGGCGGTGGGCAGGCACAGTACTTATGGACAAAGAGTCCAAGACCTTCTTGTCAGGAGCCTTTTTGGGCTAGGAAAACTCAACAATGAAATCAGAGAGGGCTGGAATAATTGGAAATGTGCAACTCCTTCTGCTTTTGGGGTCTCTCCTTTTTATCAGAGTAGGTTGAAAGTATTACCTTCTCTTTTTTATCTTCCACCCCTTGTGTTTTTAAATTTCCTTACCAGGCAGGACACGGGAGAAAGACACTCATTTAGAAGACTGAATGCGTAATTAAAAATTCAGCAGCCAGCTGAGACCAAGATTTCCCGGAGATCACACAGCTAGACATACCGGAGCTGGAGCTGAATCTGGCACCGGATACCTTGTTCCCCGGATGCAAGACACCACCGGGCCATTTTTACCTTTGCCAAACTACATCCCCTCCATTTCATTTCCAGTTCTGCTTAACTCGGGACACAAGGGCATCTGTACCTTCCCCTCCTGTTTAGCCCTGTACTGCCAACACTTGTGTATTTTGTTATAAGCTCCTCTTCTTTGACCTGCTTTCATCGAATGACTGCTGTTGTCAAAATAGGAAATATCAAAACAGAAGATGCCTCTGTCCGGCGGAGAGCAGGGCTGGAGCTGGGGTCGCAGCTCTCACCGGGGGACTGGGGCTCTGCGAGAGCTTGGGGAAACTGCCCGGGAAAGGCGCGGGTGTCGGGCTAGATCAGTAATTTAGCCTGACCTATCTGGGGAGACATGAATAACCCGCCGGCGTGGGCAGCGAGGACCCTGTGTGCGTGTCTGGTCCAGGGTACGCGGAGGAAGGCGGCCAGCTCTTCCATCCTGACTCAGCCACACGGGCGCCCCAGGTCGCCGTAGGCGGGAAAGCGGCCCAGGGCCGGTGGCGGGGCCTAGGAAGAGCGGGAAGAGCTGGCGGGAGTGGGGAGAAGGAGGCCAGGGAATGACAAAAGCCAGGAGGAGGAGCTGCAGGGAAAGGCGCCGCGAAGGGGCACGGGGGAGCCGGGGAGAGAACGAGGCCTGCAGCCAGGACGGGGCGGAGCCGGAGGAGGAGCCGAGGGGGGGCGGGAGCGCGGCCGGGGCAGGCTCTGAGGGGCGGGAGGGGCGGAGCCGGGAGGGGCGGAGCCGGGGTGAGGCCTCACCGCCCCGGCCGCGGCCGCCGGGGCGCCTTCTCCTCCGGCGGGTGGGGGCCGAGGTGCTCCCGGCCTGAGTTTCCCGGCACGGTCGGTCCCACGCCACTCCCTGAGGCGCAGGCTCCCGCAGCTGCGGCTGAGGAGACGCCCCGAGGGCCCCTGCCGCCTCCGGGCCCGGCAGCCGGCTGCCGCCTCCCTCGGCTCGCGGGGCCGGAATGGAGCTCTTCCAAGCCAAGGACCACTACATCCTGCAGCAGGGCGAGCGCGCGCTGTGGTGCAGCCGCCGCGACGGCGGCCTCCAGCTCCGACCCGGTGAGTCGCGCGGCGCGGGCTGGGGCGCCCTGGGCCGGCGGGAGCGCAGGGGGCGCGGCCGGGTACCCGCCGGGTGGCTGCTTGGAGCGAGCTGTCAGTGTTTCCACACCCGGCGGCCGCGGCCTTGTCCGCGCCTGACCCCTTGAAGGGGAGAGGAGAGGCCGGCGACCGCATCCGCGATCGCGCGCTCAGCCCGCCGTTGGGTCGGGTCGGGTCGAGTCGGGGCCAGGGGCGCGGGCTGGTTCCACCTGGCAGCGGCTTCTCGGAGTCCTTGACGGGAAGTTCTGGGTTCGAATTCTCACCAGTTCAATGGAACCTTTTGTGAGACAGTCTCTGTTGATATTCTTGTGCTCCTGCTCCCTTATTATCAAAGTGTGACTTCGAGATGGTTACCTCGTAGGCACTCTGTCTGCAGCACTTGTCTTTAATATTACAACTAAACTGTATTGCTAAACTACTGATTTTTTTTTTTTTTTGGCCGTATTGGTGATTAAACCCAGGATATTTGCGCTACACCACATCTCTACCCCCTTTTTATTTTGAGACAAGGTCTTACTAAGTCATGAAATTGCTTAGGCTGGGCTCGAACTTGCAGTTTCGCCAGTCTTCTCCCAGAGTGCTGAGATTACAGGTCTGCGCCACCATACTCAGCTAAAATACTTTTTTTTTTTTTTTTTTTGTGACTAGGTTTTGTGCAGTATAAAATGTATGATGGACCTGTGTTTGGGTGTCAGGTAGGGAAGGCCAAAGTCCAGAGCTATCAGTTTTTTTCCTGGAAGATGGTTTGCTGCCTTCAGGGAGCCCACAGTTCTGGGAGAGACTTCTGCTTTAACCAGTCCTTTTTCTCAATCACTCAAGATCTAAGTTTGAGCTTAGCCTTTAAATCTCAGTTTAGGCATTTAAACAAACCTTGCCTCAAAAATAAAAAAAAAATTGGAGCTGGGGATTTAGCTTAGTGGCTTAAATGCCTACCTGGTAAGTGCGAGGTCACGAGTTTGATCCCCAGCACCAAAAAATAAAATAAAATAAAAAAAATAAAAATTTTAAACTTTTGTTTCAAAATAAAAAATGGGCTTGGGATGTAGTTCATGTTACTGCGTGTGCGCGTATACACACACACACACACATATTCATTCGATTTAGAGAAAATGAGTTTTTGTGTGTTTTTTCACAGTGCCAATAGAACCTAGGACCTGGTGCATGGTAGGTAAGCTCTCTGTCACTGAGCTCCATCCCCAGTCCTATTTACTTATTTCTTGTCATATTGGAGATTGAGCCTAGAGCTCACTGCAATTTTTTATTTTGAGACAGAGTCTGGCTAATTGCCCAAGCTGGTTTTGAACTTTCAGTCTCCTGCCTCAACCTCCCAGAGTAGTACATACCTGGCATTACAAGTATGCCTGACTCTTTTTATTTTTTGAGAGCGGGTCTACACAGATTGCCCAGTTTGACCTTAATTTTGTGATCTTCCAGTCTCAGGCTAGCTGGGATTATAGACATCTGTCACAGCACCCAGATGAGAATATAATTCTTTAAATAGCTACAGCATTTTAAGTTTACCTTTGTTCTTGTATGTATCTAGAAAGAATTACATGGTGTGAATCAAAAGATATAGAAAGATTCAAATGAGCTTTTTAGTGTAGCCTGTTTACCATTTATATGGTGGTTTTCAAGGGCAGGTCCTTTGATATATTATTTCCAATCCCTGTAACAACCTTACTGAGCAGCTGGTCACATCCTCTTTTTCAGATGAGAGAGGTATGAGCGGTCCAGAGTAGAACTGGGACACTGATAAATTGGACAGTTCTGTGACCCCTAGAACAATTTTTTGGCAGGCCCATTACTTTCTTAGGAAGGCCTGCTAGAGCAATGGAAGAGAAGTTACTTACTCTTTTCTAGGCTCTTGCTGTATTTTCTTGCTCCTGTTTCCTCCTTTCAGACTGGAGGAAAAACTGCATCCACATAAGGTTCTTGATGATCTTGGGACAGACTTGGTCGATAGATTAATTTGGCCAGTTTCTGGCCGTTTTCTTGTCTTTTTCCTGAATTGGCCATTTTATCTGGCTTCCCCAGTCCCCTAAAATTGGAGTGAGGCTTTCATGCAGTAAAGTAAAACAGATTGTAAACTTTCCAGGCTGTCAAAGGAGCCAACTCCTTCGAGTTGAAGACAGACTTTTAGAGCTAGATGGATCTTGAAATCAATGCCAACTAATCTGACAAACCTCAGTTTTAACTATGAAGGGTAATTTGGGCCTTGATTTTTGGATTAAGGCAGGTGGTTGGATTACTGTTTATCCAAATCCATATCAGAAAGCAAATTTAAAACCTTTTTTTCTTGAATAAAATGACTGTAACCCTTTCTGTTAAGTTTATTGCACTTTTTAAAATATTACCAGCAAACCACAGAGTAAAACTAGACAAAAAACTAGAGGAAGGAAGAGGCCATTATGTTTCAGAAATAACAACTTGTTTTGATCTTTAGGTGTTAGCCAATGAATAAAGAATTCCTTTAACATATAATCTATTCTACTCAGTATTTAAGATCTTATGTATGGCTATTTAATAATGGTATTTTTAAAATTGACTACTTTTCAGATTTTTTCTTATATATGAAATTATTTAAAAATGTCTTTATTTTGTTGAGTTTTACCCCCCTCTGCTGTTTTGTTTTGTTTGTTTGAGACAGAGTCTCAAGCTGGCCTTGAACGTGCTATGTATCCCTGTCTGCCTCAAACTCACAGCAGTCTTCCTGGCTCAGACTCTGGAGTGCTAGGATTACAAGCCCGAGCCTCCATGCCCAGCTCCCTCTCTGTTTTTATGGTTTGTTATTGTTTTTGGTGACAGCATTTAAAGTCTTTTCTTGTTTCTTATTGGTTATTCAGTTGAATAGATTACTAAGTCGTCTTTGTCTTTGTTTCTGTTTTTTTTTCTTCCTTTCTTTTTTTAAACCCTCATCCCTTGGCAGAATTTCAGCCACCCTCATTGTGTTCAAATGAAAAAGAACATACATGCTTTGATGATAGTCCTTCCTTACAGCATTCATAATGATACTACTTCTCCAGTGGACAGTGTATTCCCTAAGGCAAGGACCATGATTACTCCTCTTAATATATCATGCTTTAGAGTACTTATAACACAGAAGGCTTGTTTTGTTTTTTGTAATACTCAACATTGAAGCTAGGGCTTTTGTACTGAGCTACTTTTCTAGCGTGTTTTTATTTTTTGTTTTGAGACATGGTCTTACTAAGTTATCCAGGCTAACCTTGAATTTGTGAGTTTTTTTGCCTCAGTTTTCAAGTAGCTGGGGTTACAGGCATGTGCCACTGTGCCTACTTAGAAGGCATTTTCAATTGAGCTAAATTTAAGCCCAAGTGTTCTATCAGTTAAATCATTGCCTTAAAAAGTTAAGATACTCTGTTATACTTATTCCTCATTTTAGCCCCTGTTTTGAATATATCTTAATTGGAGTGCAAAAATCTGTTTCCAGTTGGATGGGTAAATAAGCAGAGAGAAGTAGTACTTCCACTTGGGGGATTTTCTGTTTGATATAGCATTATTTAAAAATTTTTTGTGATCGTATTCTTTGTTCTTTAACATTGCTTAATTTTTTTTCAGTTTTGTTCTTTTGCTAAACATTCATTGTTATTTTTGTGATGTTCCCATTTTTTGGGTAAAGGATAGTGAGTAGTCTAGTAGTAACTGGTTAATAGATGCTGACACCAACACAAGGCAATGATGAGAGGAAAATATTTATGTTGCTTATTTTCTTGCATACAGCACTATGTAAAAATATTCAGTAAGCTCCTGAGAGTTGACTTTAATATCTGAGAATTTTAATTGTAATTAAAGATTTAAGAAATATAATACCGTCCACTGTTGGGGAATGGTGATGTTGTCTCATAACTTCAGTCTTGAAATTGCTTCCATTAGTCCTGGTGGCTTTGTCTGGTAGGGCAGTGTTACATAATTTACTGCTGTGTATTGCTTCATTCTATTCTGAGACTGAATGACCATGAAAAGATCTCAAAGCATCTGTCATGCACACAATATTCATAGGCATATGAACTATATATAGAGAAGTGATACTTTAAATGAGGAATACCAGTGAACATTTTTTCTTTTTTCTCTTTTGTAGAGGTCATAGTAGCTATCCCAGAATTCACAGAAACAAGTTTTCCTGTTCTTAGAGTCAAGTTTAATAATAAAATTGTTTTGCTATTTCATATGAAATTAACTCTGTTTAATGAGAAATTGTAGTTATGGAATTGAAATCCACAGAAATATGCATCTCTTGAGGAATGTTTTACAAAACTATATCCACTTTATTTACCTCTTAAAAAACTTTTGGATCTTAAAAAATTGTTTCTTAAACAGTCACAAATTATCATGATAAAATATAACAGGATATTTTAACTTAAAATTAATTATTAAATATATTCTAAAATTCTTTGTAACCATTTTTTTGTTGAATACTAGATTTTTTCCCCTAGTGTCTTTGATCTTCAGTTTTCTTTGAAAAGACTGGTTTTACATACTGTGTTACTTTTTAACTCATATTTTATGTTACTAACAGGCAGCAGTGGTGTTGAACAGGTATATACATTTGTTTTTATGTACACTTATTTTTATGCAAGTATATGTATGGCATGCACATTTATTTTCCATTTTAAATAGGAAAAACTTTGCAAAGCTCCCCTCTTCCTGTAGAAAAAAAAGATGATCTTTTTAAGGTGACTGACAATTTTTTAGAATCAGATTTTACAAATTGATCTGATGTTTTCGTGTGTGTAGCATTTTGTATCTACAGTGACAACCAAGATAAATACTAGCTAATAATAACTTTATATTGAGCAGTTTTCTGAATCAAACATTATTCTGAGCCCTTTATATGTTATTCTGCCATTCCCACAGTAAAACTTAGGAGGAAGGTTTGATTATTATTATTTTTGATTAAATTTATCAGTACATTTTAGTTATACATAATGATCACATCCCTTATA